ACAACAACAACAACAACAGCAACAGCTGTTGTGAGTGTGTGTGGGCGTGGCTAATGAGCAGCTCTTGTGCACTTGTTTTAATTTTGGTTTACGGCTCAAGTGTTTGGCTTGAGCTGTAAGTTAAATATATGCCAGCTAGAGCAAACACACGTTACGTATACGCAATGTTTGCCAAGGCAACAAGAGACATAGATGATGATGATGCAGCGGCAAAGACGAAGACGTGGGTCTCAGCCCGGTAATTGATATGAGAGCTAATAGTATTACACAGCATATGTGGCCGGATGTTTGTGAAGGCCACTCGAGTGGCTATCAGCTAGCTCAGCAAATTGCTTGCATCGCCGAAGGACATGAAAGGACAATCGAACTGGACGAACAGACGGCGAGCTATGTCAAGGGCCGGCTTGAGTCTAACCCTTTTTGCCGGCTTTGATGTGCTCGACACCTTGACAAAAGCCGTCCAAAAAATGTCGAGTGTCAAAAGCAGCTGCCGTCTCATGCCAGGCACCCTCCCACCCCTTCATCGACAGCCATAAAATGTGATACTCGCGCCTGTGACGGTGCTATAAAAAGCTTCGAATCACGTCATTCGAATGTCAACATTTATGTATTTCCTCCACTTTTTGCTCTTCTTCTTTTACTTTTTTGGAATCATTCAATTGACTTGGGCGTGAGTCCATTTAAAGTTCGACACATGTTGGGGCTGTGTGTGACAGGCTGTGCTAGACTAGCAGCTACCCTGTGCTACACTTAACTTTTGTAATATTGCAGAACAAATCAATACTTGGGAAATTTCTAGTTGATTTACCAATATTTCAACCGCTAATAAAAATAATATAAGATAGTTTTCTGTATCTAATTTAGCTCGTACAGTAATATTGAGCAATCAATACCTGAGATATTTTCAGCTATCAATAGTTATGCACTATGATGATCTGGATCTATTTTCTATTATCCAACTTTAGTCTTATTCAACTACAATTTGCTTGCAGCAAACACCTCTATATATTCAATCGACTGCACTTCTATGTTAACTATTTACAGTTCATTTAAATGTAGACAAAAGACTTTTTAGCTATTCATATTGCCTGACTTGCCCGCTCTCGCTGTCTGTCCGTCCATTTCGCTGTGCCCGTGTCTGTCTGATTGTTCCGTATGATTTCTGAGTGCCTGTATCTCTTTCGTGGCTCCATTGCTATCGACTTGTCTATCTGCCTCGCCTGTCTGTCGCGCCACGCCCCCACCCGCCCTCGCCTTGCTATGCTATGCCTTGCAGTCATGTGTCAAACTCTTGATGTCAACTTCTGACATAATATTGACAGCTAAACAAATCCAATTATGCCCAACTCCTGCAGCCGACACGAAGCGGCTCAAGTGTGAGAGACTCTCGTAGCTTTTTGGGCTTCTAACTTTCGGAATATGCTAAATGTTGACCATGTTTGCTTTAGCTCTGCAAGTCTGCGTATGTGTGTGTGTGTGCGCATGTGTGTGTGAATGTGCGTTCAAGCGCTTTAAACGTTTTCCCAGTGCTGACCAGTGGAGCAACTGCTACGATATTTCAATATTCCGATAGGCTGCCTGCTGATTGTTGTTGTTCTTGTGCCTCCACAGATGTTGCTGCTGCTGTTGTTGTTGCTTTTGCTGTTGTGGCGCCAGTAAATTGCGTAGGTGTGCAATTGAATTATTGCAGTCAATGCACACATTCACACTGCCCCGCCCCCGCCCCAGCCTCTCTCCCGCTTTCATCTTCTCCTGGTCAGCCGCCGTCGCCTGCTATCATAAATATGAAATTTCGGGCCTACGCAGTAATGCAGGCGGCACAGCCTGCATATTATCCACAGCTATCCCTTACCCTTTCACGTCCCTCTCTTTCTCTTTCCCTATTTGTGTCTCTCTGCCAGCTGCCTGCTGCCTACTGCCTGCTGTGCTGGCCAAACTCTCAGGGACTGTGCCAACAACCATTTTACGGTTTATTTTTGGGGCATTGAATGCAAATATTGGCATAAATTTCGGCTGTTGTGGTTGGCAGCAAGGCTCTCCTCGCTCTCTCTCTCTCTCTCTCTCTCTCTCTCTCTTTCGTGCTCTGCGTGTGTGTCGCACAGCCTCCGATTCAGCTTGGCTATAGCCAAATTTCATTTGGCTTTTGCCACAAACACACACACACACTCACACATACACAGACACAACCTTCTGCCTGACTGCATTGTTTGCCCTCGGACAGAATGTAGTTGGATTTCGTATTTTGGATTTCAGATTTGGCAATTGGAAAGTTGGTTGTGCAGCTCGTTTCGGCCAGCAAATCGCATTTTGTGTTAACAAATTTGTTGGATAAAGGTCAAAATGTGCTCGGAATTGCTAAAGGAATTTTCAAACTAAAACTCTAGAAAAATGTTAGCAGACAAATTGAAGGGGAGGAGTCCTTGGAAATCAGAACATTTATGCTTGACAGCTTGAAGTGAACAGCAGTAAAGTAGATCCATAAAATCTGCCTCCTCTCTCGTACATCTGTAGATATTTTGCAGGCATATCTTAAAGCTGCGAGCTCATAAAAACTTTGGCTGTTAAAAGGCTGAGCGAACGAATCTAAAGATTTCAATAGCCAAGTCGGCCAATAATTAGAAGAATGTTTAGCTTTAACTTGCTGGCCAACTGTCACTTGACCCCGCCTCCTGCTGGCCGACGAGTCGGCCTACCCACGTGGCTGTTGATTTATGTGTTTGTTTTTGGTTTTTGGCCGCCTGCGGCACATTTATCAGCGCAACAACAAAGCAGCTGACAACAACAACAGCAACAACAACGGCAAGCAAAACAAAACAAACAACGGGCCCAACAAATGACAGATCAGCCCCAGCAGAGGACCCGTCGGCCGAGTCCTTGGCGAGTTTATTTAGGCAGCCGCAACTATTTGAATTCCTCTGCGAAAAGCACTCAAGAAGAGCTCGCAGCCAATTGGAATTCAATACGCTTGGCATTTCCAAGCGTGTCGGTTCAAAGTTCAATTAAGTGAACATTTGTGAACGGGGTAGCGAGAGTGAGGGGAGCACTCATTGTTAAGCCTTTGATTGCTATTTAGGGCAAACATATAAATTTGCACAGCTAGAACATGGCTGCGGGCAACGCCCAGCTCGAAATTCGAAACGCCTCCTGCCCAAAAATGGAGGCAGTTGCCTGCTTCTCCTTCTCCTTCTCCTGCTGCTGTTGCCCCTGCTGTTCATGCTGCTCCTGCTGCTACCCCTAACCCAAATCAATAAATTAAACGCGCCTTTAACTATATTTCTCTGTCTGTTTAGCCATCTCTCTCTGTATATACATCTCACGCTCTCAAATTTTGGTTGCGCCGTAAATCGTTTGCACGGGAAATTGGCAAAAACATCAAAAAACTTTTCTTGGCCCGCAAAACTATGCTACGGCGAATGTTTGGCTGCTGCCTAAAACTATGCTAATTTCCGAGTATTTTTCTGTTCTGTTTGCCTCAATGTTGTCCTTGCCCGTTACACATGTCCCACGGTCCTAAGCAAACCAATTTGTTATTTGTGTGTGTGTGTGTTTGTGTGTGAGTGGGCCTCGAAAATTCTATTAAAATGGCATAAATTACAAACTCGATTTACAGCTGAAGCGGCGCGACTCTCGGGGCGGATGGGAGGTGACAACGCACTTAAATACATTTTAATTAGCTGCCAGGGCAATTGGCAGGACACTCGCACCCACCCACACTCACTCGCCCACATTCATCCACCCACCCTCATTCACCCACACAGACGGCCAGCTCAATGGCGCTTTTGATTCTCGCCTCAGAGTGTGCTACACTCTCTACATTTTCCTTGCCTTTGCTTTCCGCTGTTCCTTCATTTTCCGCTTTTCATTTGCACAAAAGCTACTTAGACACGATTTTGCCCCGGTCCAGCAACAACAACAACTACAACAACAACAATGGTCATTGGTTTTGGTTCATGGCAAAATGATGAAAGGCATTTGGCTGTGATGTTTAGTTGCAAAACAATTAAGCTGAAAGCAAAGCTGTGTAGTCAAGTATGTGAGGGTGTGTGTGCTAGTGTGGGTGTAGGTGTAGGTGTGTGTCCAAAGTGAAATGAAATGAGATGAGATGAAATGAAATGAAATCGCTCTGAAGAAGATCAAGCCAAAGCAATTCACAATAAACGACTGCTAAATACGCTTTGCCAAGCATTCAAATTTCGTTCCCTTCACTTTCTATATTTAATAACATCATTCAATTATGTTAATATGTTGACTTTATACTCTCTGTATAAAGTATTGATATTAAAATATTAGACAAACCAATTCTCTGAAATATTTACATACATATATTTATACTTTTGATAATTTCTGGAAATTCTTTACTAGGGATATATTTTAAATTTAATCTGATTTGATTTAATCAAGTGTAGATAAATGCAAATGCTTAGCAGAAATTCTGAAAATTTTAGCTAGCGTAACACAAAATACATAAATATAGGCTATAGTAAGTATTCAAATAATTGTTATTTTTAGCCAAATGATTTGAATTCAATTGATTTAGCCTAAAAGCCAAAAGCCCAAAGTTTGCAATTCAAATTATATTCAGTCAACATATAAAGCATTAATTTCATATGGAATGGCCTTGAGGTTGATTTCAGCGAATTCCTTACATTTTATTATAATTTATACACTTTTTACTTTTCACCTTGCCATTAACAAATATGCAAATCATATGAAATATACCAAGGCATACATACATGAGTAAGGCAGGAGTTGAAAGGATTCGTGATAATGGAATAGAATGAGTTAGGGGAGTCGTTACACTTTTCTCTTCGAAACGCTCAAAATCTCTGGAATCTAATATAAAAATATATTATAGCTATATATAATACTTGTTATATATATGGCATAAAGTAATGAAAGTTGGTTTATTTCACAGACTTAGTCAAGCAGTTTGAATTAGAGTGCGAATACACTATGCCTATCCAAAGCTGTCACATAACCTCCCACTAGGTAAGTATGCCCTCTAACCTACTTGTTGTTTTTGTCGATAGGGTATGGCTGGCGTAAATGTTTCGTCATTGACAAATGTGAAGTGCGCTGGAGCGATGTTTCGACATTAGCATTAATAGTGTGGCATTAATTTCAAGGCGCAATATAGAGGTACACATTTCTATATACATGTTATGGCATTTCCATGTGTATTTAGAGGGACGCAATTATAGCTACAGTCTGCCCTCAATGTGTGTGCGTGAGCGTGCCGGTACGATTGTGTGTGTGTGTGTGTGTGTGTGTGTGCGGATGGGCTTTAAAGAGCGCATAAACACATTACCACATTACGTATACAACGGGGCTGTCAGGCCCCAGGCTCCATCAAATCCGCTTGACAACGACTTGAGGTAATGTTTGCATATGCCAGGATCCTAGCTATGTGCTCTGTGCCACGCCACGCCCCGCCCAGCCGCGCCCTGCGACCCCCTCGCACAGTTTGCATAAATAATTCATTTGAAAGGACGCTTTTAGGTTCGCAAAACTGTTGTAGACAAAACTGCTTAAATATGCATAATTACCTGAGACTTCGGGGGGTGCTGCCACGCCCCCCGCTCTGAAGCGAAAAACAGAGACAGATAGAGCGAGAGTAGCCAAGTTTTCTGAAGTCTCAAGTCAAGTCAAGTCTGACGTGCTCGTGCCGGAAGTGTGTGCTAGAGAACGCATCCCGGCCTTCATCCTTCGTACTTCGTTCTTCATCCTGCATCCTGCGTACCGTGTCCCGTCTCCTCTGCCCCGGGCACTTGGCATAAATTTGTGGCCTCTGTAAAACAAACAAGCATCAACAACAGTTAGAGTCAGGCGGGAAAACGGGCGGATTTTCTTTCGCCGCAATTTACACAATTTCCACAATTGCCACAAAATTGCCGCACATTAAAACAATAAAAATTGTTTACAAAATATTTAACTAATTGGGCCGTACTCTCGCTCGCCCGTTCGGGGCCAATCAAAATCTGTTCAAATAGTCAAAGAGTCAACGGCAAAAAATGTCAAAAAATATTTAAAAATATAGCCAGGTGTTGACACGCAACCTTGAGCCGAGCTATGGCCCTCCCTCTCGCCTGCGCGCTCCACATTCCGCTTCCGTTCGGCCATAAATATAATTACAATAATAAAGGAAATATTTACAACAATTGTAAATATCTCGACTCGACTCAACTGCGGCTTTCAACACGCACGGCCCCAAATTAATAAACTCCAATTGGCAACGCCTCAAACCCTCTAGCCTCTATCAGCCCCCCGCCGCCTCCCCATCCTGCAGGACTAACGGCCTGATTGCCGGCGCCAGCGCTTCCTGATGAGCGTGTGAGCTCATAAAGATTTCCTGGCCCTCTGGGCTGCAGCCTGTGCGTGCGCAAAGTGACACAAAGCAGACAAACTAATCGCAGGCTCAACTTGCTAATACCCTATAATATCAGTAAAGTGCTAGCTTTTGATTCTATGCAGACTTTTGAGGAACTAAAGATATTCAGTTTCATTCAACAAACAGATTCTTTCATTCATTTAGATATGCGAATTAATTCAAGACTAAAGACTTGAGCAATTCAGTTTTAATTATAGTGTGGGCCATAGTCGTAATGCCTCTAATCGATTTGCAGGGTATGTGAGTGTAAGGCGTGGCGCTCTGTGACACTTGCCCGCCCTTCGACCCCCTCCACGGGAGCTACTTAATAGAACTTTTACGTTTAACTGTAACTCGGACTCGCTGGCTGCTATCTGATTACAGTCGCACGCCATAATGTCATCATAAATTGTAGTTAGCCGGGTTAAGGACCAGGTTCAGACAGTGGCTCCGATGGCCGGCGCTGTATGCCAGCCAGTTGAGCCACTGTGGCTTTGTGCCAGCTTGCAAAAGCGTGGCGCATAGAGAATTGTGTTTAACATGCGGCACTTGAGCGAAATGAAATTTATGATTAAACCAAAGCCCTTGCCCCTGGACACGCCACGTAGTCAAAGGTAAGTGCTTCAGCTCCAGCTCCAGCTCTAGCTCTCGCTATAACTGTCCAACTGTGCTCAGGGCCGTATGCTAAAGAGATCTGTGTGTGCGTGCTGGAGGGGGAGCAGCATGGAGCATGGGGCATGGGCACTCGCACAATGGCGGCCGTTTACCGCAGGCCAAAATGCCACACTTAAGTGAATTACAAAAGCAGCTTGTCGAGCACTGTGCATAGGGCAACGGGCAGGGGCAGGGGGCAGGCGGGGCCAGCGCGGGGGCAGTCAGCGTGTGGTATGCGGCACGCGGACTGAAAGTCAGCCAGTCAACGCGTTGACAGCCACAACAAGCGGCTTAATCGCATTAGAGCCCCTCGCCAGCCCCAGCCACAGCCCCAGCTCTAGCGACCCAGGAGCCTGAGCCTGGGCCAAGCCCTTGAAGTGCCGACGGACGAGCAGCGAGCGACCGGCAACGTTATTCCAAGAGCCAAGTGCGACAAACTGATTGTGTGGCGCCACACAGCGCATAGAGTCACGAGTGGGCGTGGCATCTTACACCCCCTTCAACCACCCACTAGGCTAGCAGAGGCGCTAAGCTGCGCATTGTGCGCGCCAACAACAGCGACAACGCCAACGCCAACGCCAGCGCCAACGCCAGCGCCACTATTTATATAAAGAAAAGCCAGTCGAGCAGCTCCTGTGGGGACAGACAGCGGCAGGGGCAGCAGCAGGGGCAGGGACTGGGGACCAGTCATGGCAACTAAAGCAGGACTGGCAAGACGTGGCCGTGGTGCCAGGTCGCCTGGGCAATTGCTCTGCCACACAAAAGTTCACAGGCGGCAGGCAAAAATATATGAATATAAAAAAAAAAAAAAAAAAAAAAGAATGAAATATCGAAGTGGCAAGAAATGTTTGTGGAGTTTGCCCAACTAAGAGTTACCCATTCTTATTAAAGCTGCACTTACTTTTAAAAGTTTATAATTTAAAATGTACATTGTTCTCATAAATATTTCACATACTCAACCTAAGCTGTATGATTTTATTGGTAAGTTTGTTTGACATTGAAGTATAGTAGAGGATAGCATACACTATGAAATAGTTTGTTCCAAGATTTTGCTTTTGTCCCTTCTATAAAAATTGTCAAGTGAACTATATGCCCGCTTTTTATAATTACAAGGTATACATAAAAAATGGAATATTTATATTGCACACAGAAAATGTAATTTTTCAAGAAACGTGAAAAAAAACGCAATTAATCTACGACAGAGCGCGTTTCAGGCTCAAAGAACTCAAGCAAGGAAAGCGAACAGTCACAGTCACAGTCACAATCACAGTCACAGTCACAGTCAGATTCGCGGTCACAGTTGCAAAGTCTGGCAACGCTGGGAGCTGCGTTGGAGAGAGCACAGAGTGCGCTTATACCCTGCTTCCTGTCCAGTAAATCCAATAACTTATCTTGATTTTATGGTTATTCCAACAAAGGCCGGAAGTTGTAGGTGCAGCAAAGACGACAGCGCACCCAAAAAAGGCAACACGAACGCAGGCAGGGCAGGCAGGGTAGCAGGGCAGCGGGGCATTGCTGGCACTCAAAAACATTGTGTAGTTATTCCCCGCCTCCCCGTGCCTGCCCGCCCGCCCGCACGCCCTTACGGAATGTGTTTTTGCATTTGACATGCCATTGTGTTTGTCCACAGGGTTAGAGGGGGGCTGAGCATTTAAGTTTGCTTGTCTGCTGTCCGTTACAATTCAATGTGTGTGTGTGTCTGTGTGTGGGTGTATATGTGTATGCAATTGACATATGGTTTCTTTAGAGTATTCGTTTGTCTATTCCCACCCTCGCTCTCACCCTTTATCTCTCTCTCTCTCTCTCTCTCTCCCACTCTCTGTGCTTTGTAAATTCTGCATGAAATATTTTATTTGAAATGTCCTACATAGTATTGCCGAGTCCTGCCACTTGTTTCTATTCCCACAGTTGCTGCAGCTGATGGGCATTTATTGATGCAACTCAGCCCCCGCCTCCCGCCCCATTGAGCAGAAGTCAAGCAGTTTGTAAGCTGACATTATCAAGATTAATTGAGGCTTCCTATATATTGTAGTATTTGAATATATAGAATTGCTATTCATGCGACAGTTACAAGGCCAGGCTGGGCCAGGTGCTTCCGTGTGCATTTGCATTTGACATTTATGAGCCGCATAAATCTTGCGACAACATCGGCTTTTCGACTAATTGATTAACAAGTTGCACACCAGCTCGCAACTTCTCTGGGCTTGCCGAATGTGTGAGGGCTTTACAGCTTGCAGAAGTAAGACAAGAAATTTCAATAAATATTTAAATTTTAATAATCAAATTATGTTGCAGCAATTACGAGGAAAGTAAATGAAAAACTGCGGGGAGTGCGAGTGCGCGAGCGCCCCAAGCACAGCCAAGAAAAATCAAATTGGGCAAAGCTGCTGCCGCTCCTGCTACCCCTGCTATCCCTGTTGCTTCTCCTGTTGGGGCACGAAAAGTTTCTGCCAGATTGGCATGCTGGAAATTTTTAGACGCACCCGCAGGAGAACAGCTGCCAAGTGCAAGGCAGAAAAAATAGCGGAGGAACAGATGAAAAGTAAAAGGAGAAGCTAGATAGAAAGTGTGGCAGAAGGCAGAAGGCAGAAGGCAGATGGCACAGACAATGATAATGATATTTTCGTTATTCCAGCAGGAGGGATGCTCCAAATTTATGCGCCAATGGTTTTTCTGCTTTTCGACCATATTACATATTCATTAAATTGCAGCGAACGAGCGGAGGCTGCCTGCCAATCTCGGTTGAAACGCTCTCAGTAGGCAGCTCAACTCAAGCATCAATGGCAATGCCCCCTGCCTCTCTCTATCTCTCTCTCCCTATCTCTGTCTATCTCTCAGCTAGTATCTAGTTTCATCTAATTGGTAATCATCGCGGCGCACAGCATCCGCAGCGGCATTAAGAAATCACTGAAATAATGTTGAAATCGAGCTCAAAACTCGTTTGTTCCAAACTGTAGCGAACTGTGTCGAAATTGAGACAATGACGCAATTCGATATTCGCTCATTGCACAAATATATATAGCATATATACTTATATAAGTTATGTATATATCGCATGCTGTACAATATATTGTTTGGGAGTCTCTGAGGAAATGACATCAGTGAATTGCATCATGCGCAGAAAATGTGGAGACATTAGAACATCGAACATGGATTCAATAGCTTGTCATCAGAATCAAAGCGAATCAACACCAAATAATTTTGATGTTACTTTTAATTTACTTTGCGTAAGTCAATATTTATGTGAGCTTGCAGTTAGTCTAATTGAAAGATTCAATCAATTCAAATCGGGACATTTTTACAAAGGTAAAGCAATTTTAATTTGCCCTAAACAAATGATTTAGTGAAACCTATTCAAAATTAAAGAAAATAATAGTCAAGTTAAAATAAAAAGATGACATAGTCAAGTTTAAATAATAAGAGTTATTATAATAAAATGGAATGTCAATTTAAGAAACTCCAATAAAAACCATATAAAAGTTGTGTATTTATTCTTTTTTGAAGATAATGAATTAAAACTAGTTTCAATTAATATTAAAAGGAATATGAAATAACGAATTATGTGTAATTTGTGTTTCTAACAATTAATTATAATAAACATATCTGGTTAATTTATGTTTAAATAATTAGCTGTCTAATGAAAAGCAACACATTGTAAATATATATTGATTATTATAGAGAAAAAACACATAATTAAATCATTATTTAAGCAAAACAAAACTCTGATGTTTACTCGTGGCATTTAATCAGCATCTCAGCTTCTGTCA